CGGCTGTGTCTTCACTGGAGGACATGAGGTACGAACCCAGAAACTGCTGGGGTAACATCAGGGAAGTAATCCAGAATGAGGCCGAAAAGTCAAGCAGCCTCCAGGGCAGAGGGCCCACTGGGGGGGGAACCACAAAACACCCCATGTCCTAGTTTTGCAGAGGGAAGGGTGCTGGATGAAACACATCCCTAAATGGAGAATGGGGTTGGGAATAAGCCATTCCTTTCCCCGGCAAGCCATGACATCCCTCCAGCTCCAAGCTCTGAGGAGGCATGTGTCACACAGCCTGCTAAGACCCCATGGGAGGGTGACTGTTTCCAGTGTCCATTCTCCCGATGGGAACACCAAGGCTTACAGAGGTCAGGAAATGGACCCAAAGTTACACAGCAAGCCAGCGCACGTCCAGGCTGTGAACCCAAGTCCCTGGGCCCAGAGCTGATGCTCGTAAGCACCTAGTCACCCTCACTCTGCACCCGTGTCCAGAAACACCTCCTGCCAGAAGGCGAGGATGTGCAGTCCCGGGAATGTTACAGACAGCAAAGCCAAGAGAGCAGGGCGCCCCTGTCCTCTGCAGGGTGTGGTGGAGAAGATGAACTGGAACCAAGAAGAGCCTGCCTGCTTCAAGGGCAAAGCTGATGCTCTCCCCTCAAGGCCCCCTTGATCCCGATGAATGGAAAGCACTCCCAGGACACGTGGGGCGCAGAGAACCTCAACTCACAGCGCTCCCAACCTGCACACGTGGCCAGCATGCGGGATGGGAAGGCACATGAACTGCACACGCTCAAGGGCAGGGACAAATCGAAGCTTCGTCTCGCGGTGTCAGAAAAGCCCAAAGAATTCCATTGCTTCAGCAGGACCCCTCGTAATCTCAGGGCCCCCAGCAAGATCTCCCCAACATGACAATCTGGATCCCATGGCGGCCCCTCCCTTCCCCATCAGAACCTCATTACAAGAGCAGGAACAGAGCAGACACAATGCTGATTCCATCCTGCCAAGCTCCAGTGGGGTCTCCCCAACCCCCCACCATCCTGCCAAGCTCCAGTGGGTTCTCCCCAACCACACCCCTCCTCTCCATCCTGCCAAGCTCCAGTGGGGACCCCCTCCATCCTGCCAGGCTCCAGTGGGGTCTCCCCAACCCACCCCCTCCATCCTGCCAAGCTCCAGTGGGGTCTCCCTGACACCACCACCCCGCTCCATCCTGCCAAGCTCCAATGGGGTCTCCCCGACCCCCCCACCCTCACCCCGACATGGAAGGGTTTTCACTTTACTCCCTAACTAGCCTCACCACAACCCAGATGGTGCTCAGAATGGGAGAGAGAGGCTTCATACTTCTCAGCTGAATTCGGGTCTAATGGTGGCAGGACACCTCCACGCTATTCAAAGAAAAACCACCAGAGGAAACAATTTCAATCCTGGCTTTACAAGCATGTGATTTAAAAATAACTCTGCCTGTGTCTGCTATAGATGACTTTCCCTAAAGGGACTACTGTCCTTAAAGCAATCACTCAATTCTCAGGGCAAACTGTTCTTCTTTTCTCCGTATGCAGCACATATCTCCAGGAAAGCACTCACGGCACCACCTCTGATAGCATCTGACATGCAAACGTCGAAGTGGTCAGGACTCTCCTGCCATCCCTGCGGGCTCGGGAATGGCCAGGAAGCTGCACCTCAAATGCGGGAGAAGCCCCTGCCGATGCCTACAGCATCCAGGAACCACCACTGCTCCTGATTAAGATGTCAGCCCAGAAAGCATAGCAATAACCCCCACTGCCAGAGAAGGCTTCAGCAGATCCCTGGGTTATTTCTTCAAGGAAAATTGCATTCAGATATTTAACTCATTCTTTGAACAGACAGGTAAACAGAATAATAATGATGGGTGTATAAAATAGGAGAGGGCTTGGAGGGCAGTCAGGGTAAACAGTAAGAGAATTCACAGGAACACTCACCTTGTCATTCCAAGGCACACTTGGGTAAACCTAGAAATGCATAATTTGTCATCTCTTTCACTTCCCTTCAGCCACAGAGGTAGCACTAATGGTACAATGCTACCGAGTATAACTCAAAATATGCACGCTGAGCAGAGAGTAGAAAACAAATATTTAACAAAATTGCTTTGCAATTATCTCCTGATTATCCTGATGTCTTAGTTTTATTAACTAAAAGTGGATAACTATGCTCTTATTAATGTTATATTTCTTCTTGGCAACTTAAGGTCTCCTGACTGCTTCAAAAGTTTTGCCATAATGCATTACAGGAGGTATAAAGCATCCATGTATGTGACAGGATCCTGAATTAAGCCCAGATGTGGCTGTTCAAATCGCAAGTTGAGATCAGTAGTTCCGGGGCGGGCTGGGGGTGGGGAAGGGGGGGGGGCCGATTTTGTCCTCTGGGGACATTTGGCAGTAACAGGAGACATTTTTACTGGTCACAGGTTGGGGTGGGGAGGGTTTACTGGCTTCTAAAGAACAGAGGGCAGGGATGCCCTCAAACATCCCACAAAACACAGGGCAGCCCCTACAGCAGACTCACCTGAGGAATCTTGCTGCAGACTGAGATTCTACAGTTCCCGGAATGCTCATAGCTATCTCTGTGCTCTTCCCTTCTCAGGATTTGTTTTCCTCAAGGGTTACTCGGTATTTCTATTCGGGTCACCACTGTGATTACACAGAATCATCAAGGACTTTCTCCTGTTTCAGGTTTGCCTGTGATATACCACCCATCAACTCCACCTTCCCTAGAATTTTACGTTGCATTATCACCTCTGTAAGAACAGCAGTGTTATTTTATCTGCACTGGGTATTTTAAGAAAAGCTCTAACTTCTTTTCCTTTTTTTGTAAGGAATATCATTGAGTTTAAATGAATTGAAGAGTATTATTTACGAAGTGTGCTTCCATTGTGAAAAAAACATATAAGTGAAGAACTTATTTCTAGGTCCCAGTGCCCCCTTTGATCCAAGTGTCTTCAACTCTACAACCTAACAAAATGACAGCCACTGAAAGCAGGAGTCCTTTGTTATGGGCTGCAAGTCTGAGTAGGGCATCAGAAGTTTCTGAAAGTCATTGATCAATATTGATTCAAATGACTTTCAAGATCCAAAATCCCAATTCTTGATTTTTCAGCAGGAACCTAAGGGTGGAGACCCCCCACCAGCATGTCTTTTGGGGGAAAAATAACCGCAGTATTTCTACTATGGCACACATCCTATGCATGAACAGAAGACTGAGAAATAACTTGTCAACTGAGTGTAAGTGTTAGGCTTAGAACACTGCAAGCCAAAAACTATTGGTCAAAATCTGCCGACGTTTCTCTGTGGAACAAAGGGTTACACACAGTACTAGTTACCCTGTGAAGGTCTTTCAGAAGACAGGCATTGGAAGAAGTGATGGAAGCTGACACAAACAGAATAATGATCATAACTGCTCATTAAGAAATATCTAGTGCTAGTCATCTGACCCCTTAGACACATTATCTCTAATTTTCACAATGACCCAATCAAACCAAAATGATACCCTCCTGCACAAAAGGGAAACTGAGGCCCAGAAAGGCTGCAGCACTTGGTAAAGTCCCACTGCTGCGAAGCCGTCCGTCTCATTCTGCAGAGCAGATGACAGACGCACAGCTAAGCCTTCTCACCTGGCTTCTGTGCCCTTCCTCCTGACTCTTTTCTCGCTCTGACGGTTATTTATTTTGTGGTCTGTTCCTGGGAGAACGCCCCTGTATGTCCTAAGTAACAGGGGGTCAGGCTCACATGAAAGGGTGTCTCCATAAGCTTCTGTGGCCCTGGGGGTGGCCAGGGGCTAAGACTTCATGCTATCCCAGGCAGCACCCTGGAAGCTACAACTCAAAGTGGGTTTCGAAGAAGGGGCCGCAGAGAGACTGGATGGGAGAGCTTTAAGCCCAATACTGACATTTCGAGGCAGGGGCATTCTCTTCCTTCTCTGCACCGTTTCCTTTCATTTTCATCTCGCGCTGTGTGCCACAGAAACTCTACATGAGCCAAGGACACAGAGTTCGGGAGAGATCTCCGGCTCAAGCCTCCCACCGTCCTGCTTTCTGGCCTCCCTGCAGCTAAGGCCCCTGGCTCGGTGACCCTCCCGACGATTTGTCCACTGCATCTTTGTTCCCGGTTACCTGTGCAAATGAAATGGCTTTTCTTCCTGTGTGTTTTGTACAACAGGGAGCTAAAAAGACACGGAGACAGAGCGCCCTCACTTGTGTTTACATCTGAGCGTTGGCAGGTGGGTTTTGAAGTACCGGTCATTTCAGGTAACGTTTTTGTGCAATATTTCAACACCATTTAAAGCCAGCCTTGTAGGTTTTGATAAAAGTGGATTACGTGTGGTGAACAGATGAAAATGAAAAAAAAAAAAAAAAGAACAATTTGGTAGGAATAGTGAAGAGAAAGACAGGATGTGATGCTGAAGAAGGCTAAGTCATGCTTAAGGTGAGACCTACTTTAAGACTCAGTTTCTCAACTGACAACACAAGCTGAAATGGATGAAAAAGATACCTGCCCCCCACCCCTCACTCACATCTTGTTCCCCTTAAGCCGAAAAACAATGAATACGGGCAAACCACAGCATGATACAGACAGTCCACCCAAATCATTAGCAAGGCCCTATTATCTGTGTACTTGGGGAAGGAGGAAAAGAGACGGAGGTGAGTCAGGGGCCTGAATTATCCCAATCATTAACCGCAGGTTGGCATTCCTCAAACTGCAGTCCTTGGATCAGCTGCATTAGAATCCCCACTGGGGCTGGATAAAAAATGCATATTCCAGGCCTCAGCCAGACCTGAAAGGTCAGAATTTCTAGGGGTAGGTTCCATAGCGTAGGCCTTTAGCTGACTCTCTGGGTGATGCGCTCGCCGAAATGGGACAATCACTACTCTGGCTGAAACCCAAGACTCCCCTTTTCAGATGCACCCCTGAGGATCAACCCCATCCTCCCCCTTCGCTCCCCTCCTCCCCAGGGGAAGGCAGAACCATCTGGGACTTTACCTGGTCGCATGGGGCTCTGCACACAGTTCGGGGGTGGGATGCCAGGGTGAATGGGTGCGGAGGCCCGACTGCTGAGGTCCATGACGGAAGGGGCCGCTGAGGAGGTCGGCTGCAGCCCAGGAGGGTGGGGGCTGTGGTCATGCTGAGACGGGCTGGGGGGAATGCCATTTTCCGACAAAAACTCCTCCAGGTCCATGTATTCCAACTGGAAGGTATCTCCGTCATAGGGAAGGGTTTTGTCCCATAAGGTGGGCCCCAAGAATGCTGACTGGGGGACCGTCGGGCTATTACTCTCATCATCCAGCTTCTTTTCCTTGTCTTTATCCTTACTATATGCTGCAAAACAAGGGAAAATATTGGAGTTTAAAAAAGACAGTGAAAAAGTCTCACTTTTTTTTTTTATCACTTCTCCTTGGCTTCTGCTACAAAACTACTTTCCACACGTACCGGGGCTGTTCTCTGGCTGCTGCTTCTTAGGGCTCTAGAGTTAAAAGTTCAGGCAGGACATGGATCTCTGCCTGTTTTTCAACATCTTCCTATTTACTTTGGAAAGAAAGCACTAGTCCTCGGGACAGGGCTAGAGACTGATCGAGGATATAAACAAGACATTACAGCCCTCAGTGCATTATTTAAGGAGACAAATAATAATTCAAATCTACAGTGGGAAAATAACACCTGCAATTACATACAACTGCTGTGATTTTTTAGAAAACAGCCAATAACTAGGCATGATTTATCTTCCAGGAAATTCATTACAGTGACAATATGAGGTCATTCAGATTTAGAAAGCCAGTGTATTAGTAATGCTAATTTTGGTAAAGCAGGGACTCTCTGCCCTTCTTTGATACCCTGTATTGAGCACCTACTAACATACCTGGTTCTTTTATGTTTCTCCCCCCAAAAAATCTCATAATAAACTTGCAAATAGTGACAACTTCCATTCACAATGAAGACACAGAGGCTCTGAGGATTATGGGAGCTTAACCAATGGATCACATCGCAGAGAGGAAAGCTGAGAACTTCCTAGCCCACATGTGTTTGCTTCTAAAGCCACTGGGGTACACTGTATTTTATAAAAGGAGTTTCTTGTTTTGGTGTGGTTTAAAATACAAAAGTGTTTTCTTCCTCCTCTTCCCCAAACACTGAGGTATGATCAAACTCGAAAATTATACCTGTATGGAACCTGTCAAGAGCACAGTTACCAGAAAAGGTGGTTCCTCTGAGCATCTATGATGGAGATGTACAGCTATTTTCTACCTGCAAGAATCCCTCACTCCATTAGGTCCTTAACCAGCGCCCTGGATTTGGACAAGTCTACTAGTCCTCAAGTGCGGGTGAAGTCTGTGATTAAGGAATTTAGCTTCTGACTTTCTTCCTCACAGAAACACAGCCTCCATGCCATCCCTTCTAATCCTCTACAGTCTCATCTCCCAAGAATCTGACTTCGAAACTCCCACAGATGCAAAAGACTGCAGGCAGCACCTTCCTCCCTAGTGCCCATCCTTAAAGGGGATTTAAGGGGGAAGCTCCGTTCTGCAGACTGGGAATCAAACCCCTCAGCTCTTGCAATGCAACAGGTTGTCCTAGGAAAGAAAAATGCGAATATGACCCGGCTGCTTGCAGCCAAAGGATCTTTTAAGACTTTGCACTCCTGAGCCGCAGGGCTCACCTCACCGTTCACATTTGCTCCTGGGATATCTTTGGCAGGAAACCCCCCAGCCCAAACGACAAATCCCTGGCGGCACCAACTGGATCCGGCGCCTCCTCGCAGGAACCCTCCGGGCCTGCCCCAGCCAGGGTTGCCCGGGGAAGGTTTGGGACTTACCCAGAAAGGGCTCAGGCCAGAGGAGGCTCCGGTGCGGTTACACGTGAGCCTGCCCGGCTCTCCCCTCCTACCGGGAAAGTGCGCGGCGAAGGGGGCCATGCGGGGGGCGTGCGCGGCACCCCGCCCAGGGACCACTCCCCCAGCCCACCCCAGCCCCCATCTCCCGGCCTGAAGCACCCAGCCCGGGACACCGGGCGTCTCCACTGTCGCCTCGGGAGCTCCAAACGCTAAAACTAAGAGCTGTGATCAGCACGATCGCAAATACCCCGGCTCCGCTGTGCGACCCCTGACTCGAGCCCCCGCCCGCTTGGAGCCCGGCCCTGGGGTTCACTCCAGGGCACGCGGGCCCCCCCCTTCGCCCCTGCGCTGGTGCTTTCGCTCCGCGTGTGGATGCACCTCGACCTCGGGGACGCCGACCTGTCAACTTCTGTCCCACCTGCGCCGCCCGAGAGGACCCGCGAGGACCGGCCGGGGCCCCGGCGCTCAACTAGCAACACGGAATGTCCCCTCGACAGAACCGTCCCCTCCCTTTATCGGGGGAGGAGGGGTGGGGCGATAGGTGAGCGCCTCAATTTCATTCAAGCGGGGCCGGGGTGCCGGGAGTGGGAGAGCGGGGGGTGCTCCGGGGGTGCCCGGCCCGGGAGGGGGCCCCCAGCGGGGCAGCCAGCAGGGCAGCGCTCACCGTCTTCGTGATGAAGGGGGAGCTTCAGCGGGTTCTCCAGCAAGGACCTGAGCACGCCGTAGGGAGGCGGGATAAAGGTGGGGTTCAGGGGAAGCGGTCGGGACATTTTCTCCATCGCGATGCACTCAATTTTTTTTTTCTTAAAAAAAAAACAAAACCAAAAAACTCCAACCTCCCCCCAAAATGTTGCTGAGCTTTTTCCTCCGTCCTTTGCCAAAAGTACTAGCTTTCAAGGCGGTGGAGACAAGAGAAGAAAAAGAAAAAAAAATTACTTATGTCTTTATAAATACATCTGCATAAAAACACAAAACCAAAAGAACTTTCAGGCTCCCAGCGCAGACGACCCTCGAGGAGCGCGCCAAGTGCCCGCGGGCTCCTCCGCGGCGGGCGGGATGCTCTCACCTGCCTCGAACCTCTCGTCAAGCACAACGCTCAAAATTGCGAAAAAGAAAGGAAAAACATGCAGAGCGCTGCAGAAGGCGGAGAGCCCGCACCGCCCCGGATTCGGAGGCGGGCCCCGCGGCTCCGCCCACCGATGCCCCGCCCACAGGCTCCGCCCCCGCCGAGGTTCCGCCCCCGCCGCGAGTGTAGCGTCGCCGCGCGCGCCGACTTTTCCCGAGCCTTGTGGTGCCGGCGGGCGGCGAACGGCGTCGGGACACCAGGTGCCCCCTGCCCGGGCCGTGGGCCTGTGCTGAGGAGCGAACTTTTTCACAGTAAGAAGACGAATGAGAAATGTATCTCTTTAGTTTTCCACCTGGGGATAATTTAGGGCTTTTGAAAAATCACTCCCAGAGTGATTAGGGAGCAGCCAAGTTCGGCAATGACTGCTTTAGGATCTTTAGGATCCAATCGAGGGTACTCTTCTAAATATTACCCCCGGCCCCAGCCAAGTTTAGCTCCCGTTCTCTTGTCCCGCTCCCACAACCCCAGAAAAATAAGGACTTGCTAGAAGTTCAAATGAGACATAATAAAAACCAGAGAGGGAACCACAGAGAAGCGCTGTGAACTGTTTCCAGAGCTTTCAAGGCAATGTTAATAGGGATACACTCTGGCCTGAAGTTGAGTGAGGGCAGGAGAGACACACACACCGAATGGTATTTCAGGAATATTTGCTCTAAAAGAACGCAGATGACTGTGCCTGGGTTACAAAGTCTGCATGGTATTTAAAATGATTTTGTAAAATTTTCCCCCAAGTAACATAACTGTTCAAGGCCACCACAGCAGCTGCAGGTTCGTGCTTGGCCAGTTTGCCACCAGACAGGGGTGATCGCTGAGTACTGCGTGCAGCTGGGCTTGGCTTGGCTGGTAGCGCTGGCATCCAGGCCTGGGGAGCTCCCCACCCCCAACACACAAGCATCTGGGTCTTCCTCACCCTCCCTTCCCATATCTCCTCACTTAGATTAGGGTACCGTCATCTCCGGAAAAGTTTGCAAGAGTGAATGGGCACAAATTAATACAATCTTGCAATAAGACAGAATGGTCTTTGTAAACACTACCTCTGGCTAAGAGTGGGCAGTGATTGCTATATTTAAAATGGATAACCAACAAGGACCTCCTGTGTAGCACAGGGAACTCTGCTCAATGTTATGTGGCAGCTTGGACAGGAGGGGAGTTTGCTGGAGAATGGATACACCTATGTGTATGGCCGAGTCCCTTCACTAGTCACCTGAAACTATCACATTGTTAATCAGCTATTCCCCAACACAAAATAAAAAGGTTTTGGTTTTTTGTTAAAGACTACCTCTGGGGGGTGGAAATTCTTGGTGGCCCCTCCTTGGAGCCCCTGATGGCAACTGGATGACAGGAGACCAGGTGTAGGGTGCCCTTGGCAGGGTGGCTTCTGGTGAGTGCCTTTCCCTCTCTGAGCCACAGGTTCCTCCTCATTGGGCGTATGATCAAGTGACCTCTGCATTTTTCCTCATTTGAAAATTATGAAGAAAGATAGGTGAGATAGTGCTAGAGTGTGTCAGACTTCAACCAAATTCCAAAAACATCAGGCTTTAAGCTAATGTCACATATACGTATCGAGCACCAGGGACCTATATGTATGCCAGGGACCTATAGATGAATAAGACATAGTTCTAACCCTCAAAAAAGTTTAGTTTAGAGCCTGGCATATATGCACATTACAATATAGTTTTAAAGGAGCAAAAATGGATAGATAGAGATGACCTCTCGAAACAATCACTCAAAAATCTATTGCCTTCAAAGAACAACTGTTTTGTTTTTTCTCCTCATCCTGCAATCTGGACTAGACTCATCTGGTACACTGAAATGGCCAGCCTTCTCTTCCTCTACATGAAAGTGTTAAGACTTGTCTGCTTTCACGTGGCCTTTGTGTGGTCTCTCCAGCCGTGTAGTCTGACTTCTTACATGGCAGCTCAGGGCTGCCAAGAGCCAGCCATCTAAGATAAGCCCCAATCTGCAGCACTTGTTAAGATTTTGCTTGCTAATGTTCCACTGGTCAAAGTCAGACATGTAGTCAAATCTCAAGTTATTGTGAGAAGAGAGCATACAGGGGCATGCAAGTTGGGTGGCATAGTTCATTAGGAGGTCCCCAAAGTAAGAGTCTACCACAGTTATTTTATCTTAAATAAAGGCAAACAAGATTAGAGAATTTATCAAATATCATTATATCAAGATCTTCTGACCATAAGTCCATCATGTCATTGTATGAATATATGTCCACTCAGTCATTCATTCAGTACTAGTTCAAAGAAACTTGTGTAAAGCTCTGAGTGCCAGGTGAAGATGTCAGACCAGAGGGATCAGGTCAGATGGGAACTTAGAGACTGTCTGGTGATATGCCATATGTAACCAATGTGAAAAGTTATGGTCTATGAGAAACATGGGCTTCCCAGGTGGCGCTACTGGTAAAGAATCCACCTACCAATGCAGGAGACATAAGAGATGCAGGTTTGATTCCTGGACTGGGAAGATCTCCTTGAGGAGGGCATAGTAACCCACTCCAGTATTCTTGCCTGGAGAATCCCATGGACAGAGGAGCCTGGTGGTTTATGGTCCATAGGATCAGAAAGAGTCGGACACGACTGAAGCGACTTAGCACACACTCACATGAGAAACACAGAAAGAATACAAGACAGGCCTGGAGAATAAAGATAAGGGAAGGGAACCAGCAAGCTTTCTCAAAACAAGACATTAAGAATGCATAGTATTTGGGGAATTCCCTGGTGATCAAGGAGGTGTGGGTTCAATCCCTAACCAGGGAGCTAAGATTCCACAGGCCTCCTGGCCAAAAAAACCAAAACCGTGAAACAGAAGCAATATTGTAACAAATTCAATAAAGACTTTAAAAATGTGCTGTGCTGTGCTTAGTCACTCAGTTGTGTCCAACTCTTTGCAATCCCATGGACTGTAGCCCGCCAGGCTCCTCTGTCCATGGGATTCTCCAGGCAAGAATACTGGAGTGGGCTGCCATGCTCTCCTCCAGAGACCTTTTCAACCCAGGGATCGAACCCAGGTCTCCCGCATTACAGGTGGATTCTTTACCATCTGAGCCATCAGGAAAGCCCAACTTTAAAAATGGTCCACATCAAAAATGAATAAATAAAGAGAATGCATAGTATTTGTACATGTGGAAATCAGGGCTGCAGATAGGGAAAAGGGAATTCCAGAAAGGAATGAGATTGGTCAAGATATGGAGAAAGGCAATTGACAACTTGTGAATGTGTTTTCATTTCTTTTGGATAAACAAATAGGAGTGCAATTGGTTTCATTGGAAGGATACATGTTTTACTTTATGAGAAACTGCCAAACAACTTCCTAAAGTAGGTGACTTATTCTGCATTTCCACAGCAGTTGAGAATCCTGATTGCTCTGAGTTCTTACTGACATTTACCTCTGTCAGTTGTAAAATATTTAGCCATTAAAGTGGATGAATGTCTCATTGTGCTTTTAATTTGAATTTTTATGATGATAATGTTAAGCACATTGTCATGTGCATATCAATCATTTGTATATTTTTCTGTGCAAACTGCCCAAGTCCCTTCCCCAATTTAAAATTGTCTTTTTTATTTAAATTTGTCTTTTTTATTATTGAATTTTAGGAGTTCTTTATATGTTTTGGATAACAGGTCCTTTGGCAGATACATGTGTTTCCGTCCACTCTGTGGCTTTCCTATTAATTTTCTTGACGTTGCCTTTCCATGAGCAAACATTCATGGACTTACAGAACTTTAATTTAATGAAGTTCAATTTATTAAAAATTTTTTCATGGCTATTACTTTTGGTGAACTAAGAATCCTGAGTTTTGGAGATATTTTTTTCTAAAGCTTTTATAGTGTAAGCTTTTCCTTTTAAGTCAATGACCCATCTCAAATTAAATTTTGTGGCTAGCACTGAGAAGTTGAGGCACAGAGGCTGAGGCTCTGTTTTTGTTTTTTTTTCTCATGGGAATATTTGATTGTTCTAGCAGCAGCTATTGAAAAGAATTTTACTTCCCCCTTGAATCACTTTGGTACATTTATTGAAAATTATTTGACTGTGTATTTGTGAGTAATCAAAACCTTTGATCCCCAAGGGAAAATGGATTCTTTATTTCCAAGAACAGAATAATGCTATTTCTAAGTTTCCTGGGCTCTGATTCATATCAAGCAGCAGAACAAAGTTCATCCAAGTTCAAGGCTAAAATGAATGGCTCAACTTTGGATGGCTCATTTGGTTTGTTACAAGACCTACAAAGCTGTCCATGTTAAGGTAAATAAGAGCCTAGAGGCAGAGGCATGGCTAATTTGTTTTTTATGTCTAAGAGTAAATAATCTAGTCTATTGAATGCTTTTTGTTACAAATGTGAATATTTTCAGCCCTCCTGTCCTAACCTGCATGTGCTTGGGGAATAAAAAGGTCAAAACTAAAAACATCTGTTCCATACATCCAAACAAATAAATTCTATAAGGAGAATATTTAACAGGTCAGTGGAAACTCTTTAGTTGTCTCTTCAAGTAGGGAAGTATAGCAGAGGCTCCTGGAGTATGGAACTGTCCTAAAAATAGAAATGACCGTAGAAGAAGGGTTTCTCAGACAACCTCTTAGAAGCTGTCAGCACAGCCGTGCTCTGCCCTGATGGTGTGGGACTCAGCCTTCTGTCCAGCCAGTGGTTTGCAGCTGGCCTGTCATTTCAGAACTTGGGTGAGACCGAGTGTGGAAGTCTTTCTTGCAGCCTAGTGGGGGCAGATTTGACGCCGCCACCTTGGCACTGCCCTGCAGGTCTGCAGAAAGGTCTTTGCAGGGTAAGCAGCATCTGTGTTTCAGGTTCCCAGTGGGTGTGAAAGCTTACTGAGCACACAATGCCTGCCACTGTACCCTACCAGCGGCTGGGAGCCTGGGGTGCTGAGAAGCAGCCACTAGGGTTATAAAAGGCTTTATGTGCCAGCGAGCCAAACCTCTAGATGAACCTGTTTATCTTGTTGCCAGAAAGGGCACTTTATCCAGGGAATTAGTTCAGAAGTAAAAGACATCACAT